CTCTCTCTCTCTCTCTCTCTCTCACTCTCTCACTCACTCACACACACACACACACACAAACACATTGACAACAGACCCGTCTGTCGATAGGCTAAAAACAACGCATACCTGTGTATTTGCATAGGAAGCACGGAAGTGAGATCCGATCACAAGTGGTCTTTCGAGACGCATGTGGAGATGCGTTTTAAAGCCAGTTGTGAACTGACGAATCTAGAGCTGACTACTTGTGATCGCATCGCCGGAGACGTGCGTCAATACCAGGTCTGAACAGGGTCAAAGAAATAGTGCTGCATACCACTTAACACACCACACAGCGTCCACGGTTCAGCTCCAGGTCTGGGGACCTTTTGTTGTCTCTCATACCCTTCTCTATCCCCATGTTTCCTGTCTTTCTAAACTGATGATTCTCTGCCTTTTTTTTTTTTTTTAATTATTTTTGTGCCTTTAATTGACAGTTATTACAATTCATACTGTTATGAATGTGTGCACCAAATGACATTGAATAGTTGCTTTCTGGTGGCTCAAGAGGAAGAGTCAGAGGATAACCAAAATCATTAGGAGTCATTCTCCAGGGACCATGAATGTCTGTACAAAATTTCATCTTAATCTGTGCAGTAGTTGTTGAGATATTTCAAGTCAGACCAAAGTGGTAGGCTGACCAAAATACAGCTCTTCAAATGTGAAGATTTGTGGTTTTTCACTGTTGTATATAATTTTAAGTTGAATATCTTATTTTTGGACTGTTGGCACTTCTGTAAAACATTCCCAAATGTCCCATCCTGTGATATCTGTAGCTGGTCTGCGTTTTCAATGCATCAGTCTTCAGCTCTTGTGTGACGACCTGACCTGCAGGGACAAGATGAGGAGAGTCTGCAGATAAGTGTCCTCAGTTATTAGGGGTGGGGAGTTGAAGGGTGAGGAGAATGGCGTGTTGATGCGGAGTAGTGGCAGGCTGTAGGGTGGGGGTTGTTTGCACTAGGTGCCAAGGGGGGATTTTTTTTTTTTTTTTTTTTTTAAAAAGGGGGGTCTCCCTGTGGCCTCAAGCCAGCTTCGTGTTGCTAAACCTGGACCAGTTCATTCACACATGCAGAAAGAGAGCGGGAATGAAAAGCGTGTTACCCCTCACTGCTTTATATTCATGAGCCAGCAGTCTGTGTCTGAGGTACCATCTCCCTTAGCAACCCAGGCTCCGCCCCTGTCTTTGTAGCTCGACATATGAAAGCCATCTGTGTTTAGACCCTTAATCTCCATCACTACACACACCCTGCAGAGTCTATATTGTGTGTGTATTTTCTTAACTGAGGTAGTTGGCTCGGAGCGATGATCTGGGGAACAAAGAAGAAAATGCTTTATTACAACAGTTAAGTCAGCAGTAACTGCTCTGATATTGATGGATGGTGCTGTGTGTCTGTGCTACAAATAATAAAAAAGCAGCCACACTTCTTTTAATTATGTTATTAATTATCAGCCACTAAAGTCTCAGCTAACATTAAAATGTCACAAAGTAGGAGTTGGTTCTAATTGAGTGCTGCAGTTTAGGCTGGTTGCTGTTAATCCAGACACTCCTTCCACTCGCAGCACATCAGAGATAAGACAAAACACTTGAGTGCTAAAAGCTGGGTTTTAATAGAGTGCTCCCTATTCTTAATTGGCTCCAGTTTCTCTCTAGAGCCTATGATGTGATAACTTAAATATTTACCCACAGACCAGATCACAATTCAAATGTCAATGAGTTTATATTCTCTCAGTTGCTTCATTGTGCTGTTTTGTTGGTGCGATGGTTATTTCAACCCTGAAGGCTAAATCCTCAGCCACGCAAAGGCAAAGCAGTATTGTTCTATTTTGCATTGCATCGTATATTAAATTTTTCCACAATTTTTGTAACCAATAAATTGTTGAAGTTGCAGTATTTGCCAATTCCACTTTCTAGTTTCAGCTTCTCAAATGTGAAGATTTATAGCTTTTCTGTTTTTTATATTATTGTAAATTGAATATATTTGGGTTTTTGAAAGTCACTGGGACAAAACAAGCCTTTTGAAGACTTGGGTTCATACATAAGTTATGTACCCAGGATTACTTAGAAAACAACATTTATAAAGAAAGTAATCATTCTGGTGAAATGAAAGTAAAATGAACTTCACTATTTTTTGATGTTTTAGACTAAATTATTTGATCAAGAAATTGATGATGAAAGTAACCATTAATTGCGTGCCTTCAGTTTTGCATTACTGTAGATTTTCGGTAGCTTAGCCTTCTTTAGTGTGAAAATGTGATTTGATTGTGTCAGTTTACTGTAGCTGCTGGAGATGGGGGTAGTAGTATGTATTCATTTACAAAAAAAAGTTTTGTGCATTAATTACGACCCGCTGTTAGAACATATGTCTTGAAATACTTTTTATATCAGTTTATCAAATACAGATTCTGAATAGGTCCACAGCTTGACTGCTTGGCTCACTAAGCTAGGCTAACAGCTGAACACTTATACTGTAGCTCCCATCATAAACTAGACAGACAGAATAACTGTTTTTACAATAATGTGATTTATTAAGTGACAATGAAGCTGCTGACATCTAGTTATGTGCCATTATGGGAGCATGCTGAATGCACAGGGAGCCAATCTAGAGCACCTGTACAACATAATACAACCTTTATGAATCTTGTATGGTGATGCAGCTACAACTTTAAATTCCCTCAGTGAGTCAAGTCATCATGAAGGAGCTATAACAGTTTATGGTGATACACTTCTGGGAAACCAGAATCTCACAGGCCATTGATTTCTCAAACAATTTATCAGTTAAACTGGAAATATGGAGACATAAGCTGAAACCATCAATGGGGAGGGTTCCCCTTAGTCTGACAGAAATGTTGCTCAAATTCACATCTTAGCTTTTTGCCAGATCAGAGAGGCTAGAAAAGTATTCATGTGAGTAATTTGTTCAAATGACAGTCTATTTTTGTTGCAATTACAAATACTGAGTATTTTATAGCAGTTTATAAATCGGTTTTGAATGTTACTCCAGCTCATAAACGGACATGCAGATACATTGTGATTTATGTTTTTAATAAAAATAAAAAGATGACAGTATAGAAAAATGCTCAGCAATATGAACCTAAACATTGCATTGCATAATAACACAATGGCCCCATTATACTTTGAAGAAATGTTGATCAGTGCTCAAGCAAAACACACAAAAGACAGCAATTTAACTAAGTTACATTTTGGCTTAGTCACAAACACTGCTAACACAAACATCACACTTCCAGCTGAGCTAGCAGATGTTTAATGGTAAAAACAGAAAAATGTAACATTGCCTACAAATTCATCTGATCCAACTACTTTTTACAGTTAATCAGTTAATCATCTGACATGTTGAGCAAGTGAACAACAGTCTCATTCCTGTCATTGACATTATAGGTCAGAATAAAAATTCATTTGTGTAAATCAGCATCTATACATTACATTTAACTCAGCTGACGGATACTTCCTGCAATAAATGATAAGTGTTATGTTAGAGGTCATACATTTAAACAAAATCGCTGAACAAAGGCAATGTAAACCGTCACAGTATTCACATAATTAGTGCATTGAAAATTGTAACAGCTGCTCTCCACAGGGCACTGTGACATTATTCATGTTAAAACAGACAAGACTCAAAATACACAAATGGATGAATCGGTTAGTGGTTATCTATTAGGAGACACAGAATTTAAAGTTAATGAGTCAGTGTTGGTTCAGTAGTGTTAACAGAAGGCCTCTATAAAGTGGACAACAATAACATCATCATATGAACATGATGTGTTACACGTCCCAACATAAAAAAAAAAATAAAAAAAATATAGAAAAATACAATTTTGCAGACAAGCTGTAATTTTGGCAGCAAACATGGGCTTTGTTGATTTTAAGTCAGGGTAGGAATTTACATAAAGCCACCTACCAAATGCTAGTAACTGTTTGCTTGTAGCTAATAGGTTGGTCCACTGGATACTTGAGCAGATTGTATAGTGTGTAGTGAACCTACTCTGGTAAAATAGTGAAAAAAGCTAGTTGAGGTGTCCTTCAGTACTTTTTGCTGCAAATGGAAATTTATTTTCTTCCCTTTCTACAATACTAAGCTGAATACAGTGTTGTTTGCCCCAGGGTGCTTTCGTATTCTTCATTTTTAAAGAAAATGTCATCCTTCATATAGTACCTCCAGAGGTCTTTTGACTGTCATCTTCTATAATCAGCAATTTACAGACCTGGACTGACTAACTGAATTCTTTAAACTATCACTCTAGAGGCTGTAAATAGCTCTCATATTATTAACTTCCATCTATCAACCTCTGTTGGTTAGAAATTCATGGAGGCTGGGGGACAGAAAGCTTCAATGTGCCGAGGTTTACAGCCTCTTTTCTCTTATTCTCCCTGTGTCAGCACGGGAATGTCGATCTCTATGGCAGACATCCGTGAGCGGGTGGAGTAGCGGTGGCCTGCGTAGCTGGATGGGTATCCCTGAGAAGGAGCGTAGCTTTGTGAGGGAGCGTAGCTTTGTGAAGGAGCGTAGCTGTAAGCCTGAGTCCCTCCCACCTCAGACCCATACCCATCTGGAGCAGAAATCTGAGACATGTACAACTGCGGTGGTGCGGGGGCAACAACGCTTTGTGCGTAGGCCTGAGATGGCACATAAGGCTGGGCGTCGATCACCGTGGGAGGATAGGTTTGTGGTGGGAAGGGCTGAGGGCCATACACTGGGGAAGGAGGATATCCGTTGGCAGTGAGAGGCTGGCTGGACAGAGATGTTGGCATGGAGGGCAGGGGCAACCAGAACGGTGAAGGCAACTTCTTACACATACAGTACCACATGAACATCAGCAGTGCAGCCAGCATCAATCCTCCAGAGCAGCCTATTGATACATATACGGCAAACCCATCAGAGAAAATATTGTCATATCTGATGTTCAGCTCCTTAGTGCGGAAGAGGAACCACACTGAAGGTGCAATGGCGATAGCACCACCCAGGAACAAGAACATCCCGGCCACCAGGTGACAGCCAGCACTGTTAACCAGGAATCTGATAGTCTTTATGTCCGGTTCAGGCTTGTCTGAGCAGCAGCAGGTCTTACACATCCCAGCCATACACAGTAGCAAAGCTAGTGAGCCGAACAGCAGGCCTGCAGGCAGACAGAACTGCAGGAGCCGCAGATCCAGCTGGTCGACTTTAGAGTACCACTGGAAATGTGAGAGCATGATTTCTGTTAGGACAATTTAGAGAATAAAAGCAAAAAGTAAAAACAAAGGGTAGCAAATTGCTCAAAGTAATACCTCTGAATCATAGTAGTAGCATCCTGAATAACCATCCTGTTTCACACATTTAGCCCACAGCCCATCATATACGCTGATATTCTTGGCGTTGCGATTGTAGGTGACGAGCCTTGTTACACGCCACTGTGGGATTATCGCTGACACAGCAAGCCCTCCTACAGACACGAAGGCAACGATGAAGGCAAAAGCATTGGTGGCGTGGATGTTCCGGCACGACATGGCTGCTGGTGCTGACAGGAACTGAGGCGACAAGGAGAGTTCCTGTTTGAACGGATGAAGTGAGGAAGTCAGACAAAAAAAAAATACTAGCTAGTCACTGCCCTGGGAATTAATGAGGCTTTCATACAATTTTTAACACATTTCTTCTGTGTACAAAACTCCTGATCATGGGGAAAAAGGCATAGTTATACAAGTTTATCTGAATGGCCCCATTACTACTGAAGCAATCTAACTGTGCCACAGACTGACCTAGCTATGGGCAAACCCCCCTGTATTTCTATTCACCACAGTGTAGTTGACCCAATATCTGCTGTCCCCGAGAAACAATGCTCTCATTTCATTAGCAAACAAAGTGGGAATGACTTGATGGCTGAGGTTGCAGAGCAAGAGTGTCTATTCTGCAGTACATTGCATAGTCTGTACAGCTACACAATAAACAATTGAATTACACACTTGAGCTTTTCTATAGGTGACAGCATTCAACATTGACTGACCATGGTAATGCATCTTGATTTTTAGAAACTCATATATGCTTTCACATCATTGTGTCTTGGTTATTGCAACCTGTTGAGTTCAGATTTAAGACAAAAAAGATCACTCCTTTGGCTGGTGCAAAACGCACCTGCTTTACTTTTAACAAATTAAGAGTAGGTAGGCTTTTTGTAGTGATGGCTCCTCAGCTCTGGAGCTCCTTGTGTGAGGATGTGAGGCTTGCAGAGTCTGCCACGTCCTTTAAATCTTTATGATCATTTTTTAAAAGCCTGTTATTTTCTTGCCCCAGGTTTTATTCGCCCAGTTGTAATATGGCTTATCTGTTACATCTATTTTTATTTCGCTCTTTGTCTTATTTTACTGTGTATTTTACTAATGTATGTTTTAATTTTTGTACTTTTAGTTTTCAGATTTTGTTTAATTATAGTTGTTAGTAATGATTTAATCTCGATTTACCCATGTAATATAGATGTAAATGACTAAAATCTATCAGAAGAGGTTAGTGATGACTGAGTCAATAAATCTGTCTGATACATCACCCAAAACTAAGTATTGAAGTCCAATTTTGTGATTAACGTTACACCATAACTGAGCGATAATGGGTATTTAGGAATCTATTATTACACTCAACAGCTTTCCAGACAGCCTAACCAACTAAGCTAACTATCTGAGTGGTTTTAGCAGCTACACAGGTTAACTCTGTTAGCCCGTGAGGTAGGTTATCATTTGTACCTCAATTAGAATTATTTATTAATAGCGGCATATATCAACAACTGTGTTCGCTAAAATGGATCACCTGAATACGAAAAAAAGAACGATGGCTCAATAACTTGCATTCAACGCTGTCTTTTTCGTTACATTAGCCAGCTAGCTGATAGCTAGCATAGAAAGCTAGCATTACAGCAACCTGTTGCGTCCTGAATACCTAGATATGAAGCTAAAGGACGGCAACTACATGGGATAAAGACTACAGTACCGTAAATTTCCAGCGGTTTAATCGTGTTCAGAGCAAAGGCGGTGGCATTTCAGCTTGGTCCTCTTTCACCGACTTCAACCCAAACCAGTGTCTTTTCACTAAAGTACAGTAGATACGAACGTAAACAGGATGTGGCCTCAGATGAGCAGGAGCGTTTCCGCCCTCAGTGCTGTCTTACAGGTGGTTAAACCTTGCTGTGCTGTTGTTCTTGAGCACCAATATCGAATAGTATGTTTCCTGAAATTATTCCCTATACACAGATATACATAGAGCATATAGGGTAGCCAATAAAATTAGAGTAAATAAAAATAAATTTGTGCATATGTGTGTGTGTGTGTGTATATATATATATATATATGCGTGTGTGTATGTATAAATTTACTCTGCCTAAAATAGCACAACACAATAAATAAAAAAATAAAGAATATCAAAACTGTCCAAATGTAGATTAAACAGATTAAAATACATTACCAATCAGACATAGAGGTCGCTCTGCTATTGATATTCAGGTACAGTTGCAGCGGTTTTCTGTACAAACTTATTCTAATGTGTTTCTGTCCAGTTATTTGTACAATTTTTTTCCCTTCTCATATACTTTGCTCTGAGTGTGACATAACAATACAGCTCTGAAGGGGATGTGTGTGTGTGTATATGTGCATGCGAGTGCAATAATAATAAAATTGACATTCTGCCCAATTAACATACAGGTCACCAATACAGATTAGTGGTTGCTGATCAAACAAGCAGCTTGAATGCACAGTAAATATGGTTGTTAATTGAATGTCTGAACTTGGACAAGAAAAAAAATTCAATTAAAATTTGGACTAATGTACAGTGTATGTTGTACTAATTTTGTGGTGGTGATGTTGACTTCTGTCAACCTTGATGCTGAGATCTTTCAAGTGAGCATAGTAATTTATTTGTGCACTATGTAGGAAAATGAATTAAAGTCTGCATATCCAACAACTGAATTTGGTTGAGTTCTTCTTTTTGTGTCTTCCAGGGAGATGTCAACATTCACATGATATATAAATCCGCAGGGCAAGAAGGATTTAACAATCTCCTCAATGGTAAGATGGTGACTGAATACTTGAGGAAGAATTTAATGTGTGGTTAATGTAGATAGAAGTGAAATAACTATTTGGTTTTGTGATGTGCATTTACTCATGCTAAACATAGAAAGTGCATCAACTGTTTTGGAAGCTCATCCTGAATGTTGATCATGATGATAATAATAAATATCTCTGTTCCCAAGGTGAACTGCCAGAGCCCCCTTTTCCCAGCCCCCCATTTCCTGGGGCAAAAGTTATTCACAGGAGAAAAAAAAGACAGGTATGACTCTGCTGCTGGCACATTAGTTGGAAAATCATCATCATTAGCAGGTGGATGCTGACGGACTCATACTGACTTCACTTTGTTTTATGTACATGAGTGTGTGTTTCTGTGAGTGTACGATGGAGAGATAATTATACTATAATTATGCTTTTTGTCCAGACCTGATTACGCTGTTTCCCACCTGGATGTTTTATGTTAATTCACAAAGCTACAGAGAGAAACTGTTTGCTCACTCTCTTCCCACTCCACAGCGCTCCACCCCCTCTCTCTACTTCTTCTTCTCGTCTTCTTTTTCATGAAATATTTATTACCTTATGAGTAGAGGCAGCTTCCAGCCTCGTCTTTTCTCAGACACAGTCAGATGTCTGCAGCTGTCTGTCTCTCAGGCATCAGAGCTGCACTCATCTTTATTTGGAATTAAGAGAACAAACGCACCTGGTTTAGCTTTACAAAGTTCATCCTTATTGATTTGTCGTCCCTTTTCTTTTCTTGGTGACGCAGGAGACATGAGGTGATCTTTGTGTTTACTGTGTGTGCTCTTCTGAAATTCTCTTTGATGTGCAAAGTCTTGGTTAAAGGAAGCTCAGAAAAGGGCGTCTGTGTCTGTTTATATGATAAAACTAAACTGTTGTTTCTTCTCAGGCCCCACGTGTGTCACGCAGTGTCGAGGATGAGACCAAATACATTGAGTTGATGGTGATCAATGACCATTTAATGGTAAGCTTTTGACTACATATGGTCTGAATGCACAGTTATGACACTCTAAAATGATAAAATAGTTATCTTCTACTATAGCTGTGAATTTACGCTGCAAAAATAATTCCCTGTATTCTGTCATGTTAAGATTCACTATATTTAATGGTTTTGTATTCCATTTTGTTTGATAACCCTATGAAAGGATTTTTGATCCTTTGAGAGATTTATGAAAAATTCATCACAGCTAAGACAGAAAACATTATCCATCATAAAATAACTTATGTTAACTGATTAACAGATATCTACATTTAAAGGATAAGGCTGGTAATATACAATATTTTTCAGCTCTCATAAAAAGACTGTTACTCCATCTCTCAGTACTTTCCAAATTTTCTTACTCTATGGCACTTGGCCATAAATTAATTTACTGACTGTAAATTTCTAAAAATGTGTCACAAATATATATTTTTTAAAAGAGGCCCAACAGTTTCCTTAAACAGCTGGGCACTAAACAGTCATGTTTAGTGGTCATTTTGAGGTTGATGACACCTACAAAAAAACCATATGAAGTGTTGGCTCCAAAGGCAATACTCATTTTTGTTTGTGGTCTTTTCATGGGATTTGTTCATAAGAAAAATATAGAATATCTCTTGGCTTGTGCTTTAAATTGCTGAGAGCTTAGTGCAGGATGCTGGGCGGGCTGAGAGTCAACAATATAAAAGTTCTTGCACTCTCGAGTCACTCCTAAAACTACCTATGTTGTGCATAAAAGAGAAAATGTTTTGATCCAAATGTGCCTGACTAAGATCCTCTGGGACCGATTTTGTTTTATACACAGTGACATTGATATTTGGAGCAAATCAAATGTGCAGACACTGCTTCTTTTATACATTTAAATGGCTTGAAATGAATTTGTTCCAGATTATGGATCCCACTTTTATTTGTTTCCCCTCCATCCCTCTGCGTCTCTCTCTATCTCTCTCTCCAGTATAAGAAGCATCGGCTTTCCATTGGGCAGACGAATAACTATGCTAAGTCAGTGGTCAATATGGCTGACATGGTAAGAATTGTATTGATCCTCTTCTTGGAAAGCTTGCCACAAGCACTCCCAGGTATTGGGACATTGTACTGATTTCTCATTTAACCAACCTCACCCGCTCCATTTAAAACCTCCTCTGGCTCATAATATGCTGCAAGCAGCCATTAACCAGCCTTCACAGTCACGAGTTTTCAGGTTTTAGAGGACCGAAGCAGCAGCGGCATTCCAGCAGTACCGAGGTGGATATTTCAATGTTTGATTATTTGTGGCCACATCTGTGTGCTGTGTTACTGAAATCTGACCTGCTCAGGGTCATGTCTGTAAGCTGATAGGCTGGTGAAGCTGGAGGAAGGTCGTGCTTTTTGTTGTGCCCTTGAAGATGATCATATGAAGCAGTTGCTATTTGGGAAGTACCATTGATTTCCAAGTACAAGCAGACTTCTCTATCCATCCAGTGTGTGCCATGCTCCAACGGCATGGAGGCACATTCCTGGGAAGATTTGGTATGCTAAGTGGTTTTAGCAATCACCTATAAATTCCAGTAAATATAAGTATACAGACAAAATGAATAAAGTTGTACCATCTGTATATACATATTGTAGTTTGGAAAACAAAATGTCACAATTATGGGCTCTTTCCCAAATGAATACCTACCCAATACAGAGTGGCAAAAGAAGCCCAAATTGAGCTTTTGATTCCTTTGTACTTGACAAAGACAGTTTGGGTGCGACATGTACTTTTCCTAATGTAATAATGATTTTTTTGACACTTTCACCATCATTTAGCAGCCAGTGTAGAGGCAGACAGGAAACAAAGGCAGAGAAGCGTGACATGCAACTAAAGCGTATCAAATCATGTAATCAAATCAGGGATGTTGTGGCTTTCAGGGATACCTCCATAATTTGTGTTTAACAGTGTTGCACAGTCACAGTTACAGTATTTGGGAAATGGCACCTGGACAAGAAACATGTGACTGACACTGGTGAGTTTAACCTCACCATAAAAAGTGTTAGAAAAATGTAGTCATAGATTTATGTGCATGACCAACATAATGTTTAGAGAAACACAATATGGAGCCAGCACCGCTGCACTGTCTGAAGGTTTTATTGTTTGCTCCACACTAACTGTTTTGGGACGGCTCTTAATATGGTCAACCCACCATGCAAATGCACAAATGGATCCAGAGTGGACAGTGTCACATATCGCTGACTGCTCCCTCTCTGCTCTGCCAGGTTTGTCCTGAAATTCGTGGCATTCAGCTTAAATGAAAAAGCTTTGCTCTTGTCCTCTCCTCCGGTGTTTGTCTGGCCAGGAACCCCAATAGATTTCCATCTTATTAAAGCAAACATTATTATTTACCATCCAATCTTCTCCTGCTTTGTCCTTCAGACTGTTGCACTTGTTGACTGTGTCTAGCCACCTGTAATTTGCTGCTGTCTGGTGGCAGGATCATACTGACTGTTGACTGACTGACTGACTGGTGCTGTCATAATGAACAGCTGGAGATGATGATGAATTTGAAACATGCCTGTCAGTGTTAATCGATCAGGGGGATGTCATTTTTTTCTTTGGTTCTTTCAGTTACAGGAGAACTTTGAACTTATATCTTTACGACTTTTAAAAGATAACGCACTCATATTCATTTTTCCTTTAATTCCACAGATCTTCAAGGAGCAGCTTAATACCCGGATTGTGCTGGTTGCCATGGAAACCTGGTCAGCTGACAACAAGTTCAACATTGACGACGACCCGATGGTGACCCTGAGGGAGTTCATGAAGTACAGAAAAGACTTCATCAAGGAGAAATGCGACTCTGTTCACCTCTTCTCGTAAGTCTGAATATCTAAAAAGGATTTTCTTGTGTTCTTGGTGCTCAGCATCTTTTTTTATTAAATGCACAACTTTCTCGTTTCATCAGAGGGACTCGCTTTCATAGCAGCTGGGGTGGAGCTTCCTACATGGGAGGAGTTTGCTCCCTCACTAAAGGAGGTGGGGTGAATGAGGTGAGTCCTTAACCACAAATTAATGATTTAAAATCCCCCAACATCCT